ACAAGGTGCGATTTTTACATATTCACATATACAGCAACTTCGTGCGTGTCTATATGTAGCAGTTAATATCTTGGAAAAACGCGAATTTTTATCTTTCGTAATTATCTTGAAATATTTAAAAAATTGTACAAATCGTCGTTGACTGTCCAAAAAAATTATGGAAAATACAATTGCAGGTTGCGGTCCTGGCCGACGCGAATGTCCCGGAGATCAAGGCGATCGAGGACTACGACACGGTTGCGGTGACCATGCACTTCCCGTCAGGGACCGTCGGCTTGATCGATTTGTCGCGAAATAGCTCGTACGGATACGATCAACGACTGGAGGCCTTCGGTCCGAAGGGTATGGTGCAAGCCAACAACGAGCAGCCGAACTCCGTTCAGCGGCAGTATGACCTGCAGGGGCCGACCACCGCCCCGATCTGGTTCTCGTTTGCTAGTCGTTTCATGAACGGCTATCGAAGAGCGTTCGATCACTTCATCGATGTGGTGCACGGTAAGGCTGAGTCGCTGGTCAAGTCAAAGGAAATCCTGGCAGTGAGTAAGATCGCTACGGCCTGCGAGGAGTCCGTTAGCACGGGGAAAATCGTGAATCTCAAGTGGACGGACAGCGAGTTGCCTGATAATTAATGAGGAAACATGACTTCAACAAAAGTGTTATTGTCAGCAAATATTTTTTGGTACCGTTTTTTGTAAGTTACAAATAAAGCAAATTGCCTGATTATCGCGTATAAAAAAAACAGTAAGACATAAATAAATGTTATTACCGTCTTTAAATGAATACTTAAATGATACTTTTCTAAATGAATATTATTCGTTTAAAATTTGTATGCGAATCCTTCTTTTATCCAAAATGATGTATCTGAAAGATAAAAATACAGATATGTAATAAATGTTATTAAATGTGATTTTTCTTTTCCTTTCTTTTGGATCTTTTCCTATAAGAAGATCACAATTTATTATCCTCGTATTTTGTTTGTGTTATTATTTCTATCATTCATTAAAAATTTCTGATATTATGTGCGAAATAGTAGAACTGAAATGAAACTGGAATTGTTTGTTTAATTGCTGCTCTAAAGCAACTGCTTTCCCATTGGGCTATTGGGCTATTCCAGCACACTCCATATTCTTTAGATTGTAAATCATAAATAAAGGTTGAATTAATTCCGTTGAAAT